TACATATTCTTTTAAGTGGTCTGGGCTTCGCCCATTTTTTTTATTCCCGTGACCTTCGTTTCTATTATTACATGGATGACTGGCTTCCGTACAGGCTGAATCTGTAGTTCATACTCTGTTTCTCCTAAGAGTAGTGGCTTGGGTTGATTGGTGCAGGTGGAGATGTTTTTCCCACCCCCTACATACTGCCTAGTTTATCTTGGGGTGTTGTTTAATTCCCATATCAGTCAGGCCCAACTTCTTCCCTTCAGTTGAGGGCTATGGTACTTCTAGTTTGCAGCTCTCCTCCCATAGTGCGAGAGGTTTTTTCTCTTGACCACATTTTTTTGCTTTCAGTGGATTTTGTGGGTCCAATCCAGAGGAGCTTTGTTTGGGATCCTTTTGACACCCCTCTTATCCTTCCTTACTGATTGACTTTGCCTAGTGGTTGGATTGGGACATCACCCCTATAGGTGTTCCTCTTCCTTCTCGATCAGAACATCACCTTTTAGGGATACTTCCTTTTTTGGTTGGGTGCTTATCTGGTGACTTGGGAGGTTTTGAGGCAGTGGACTCTTGGAGTCCTCTCGCATTTTCAATCTCTGGGAGCTCCTTACAGTTTGTTGGGTTTGTGCACTTCCTTCCAGCCCTTCAGGACCATCGATGATGGGGTTTTCTGACAACTCAACTGTCATCTTGTACATCTTCAGGCCAGAGGCACTCAGTCATGAGACCTCTGTTTTTGACCACTGGTCCTTTTGTGTTGGCTTGTCAAATTTAGAGTGCTCTGAATCTCTTCATGGATTATTTATCACATTCTCAACAGGATTCTCCCCTTGGAGTGGTCACTGGATACATGGGTGTTTCAGGGGCTGTTCCTGATCTGTTTGCCTTTGCCTGTCATCTCAATTCTTAGCTCCATTTCTTTTTGACTCCTGTTCCACATCCTTTGGCCTACCCTCCCATTTGGCTGCTTCTTCATCTCCTTCCCATCATCTAGACCACTCTGAGTCGGGTTGTGTAGGTGATTCCACTTTGGTCAGCTTTGCTGTAGTTTTCACTTCTGAACTAACTACTTCCTCTCCCTATTCACCCACCCTCCTACATCTGCTCTGGTCCAGCATGTGTCATCAGTTTGTTCCCACTCTCTGACTTCATGTATGGCTTTTGTTCAGTTCCTGGTCTGGCAGGCTGGCTTCTCACAGCATATGGCATCCTTGTTTTCCCTTTACATTAGTCTTTCCTTCATGGGCTGTGTACCAAATAAATGTTTCAGTTTTCAATATGGTTCTTTTCCCAGTTTGTTCTTTCTGCCCAACACTGTGGCTACTTGGGTGGATAATTCTGCTTTCACACCCCTCTCACTTCCTTCCTTATCACATCTCCTGATTGCCTACTCTGTCCAGTCTGGGCTCTCCACTACATGGGGCACACACTCTGATTCCTTCCCTGGTTCTCGCTCCTGTTGTTTCTTCCTTGGAATCCTTCCCAGTCCCATTGACCTTTCCACAATTACTTCACGATTGGATATACTAGTTGATTCTCCTGGCTTATTCTTTCTTTTATCCATAGGATTGTAGTCTTTTCTGTGTTTCTTCCCATCGAATTCATCACTTTTCCATGTCCCTGGCCACTCATTTCCATCATCTTTTGGAGGACATTATTAGTGCCAGTATGTGGCCCACTCCCTATACCTTTACTGCTCATTATCTTCATTACATGACCATTGCTTATTATATGAGGTTTCATATTCCTCCCATCTCCATTTTGCATGCCACGATTTCTCTTTGAGTGGGGTCAGTGCTCCCATCTTCTTCAGTTTTGTGCAGGGGTGTTTGTTGCATATTTGGATCCTGCTTAGTGACGAGTGTTGCCTGATTAGGTATACTTATTCTTAAATCCGCACTATAAGACCTGTGTGTGTGAAATATGCCCATTGTTTGGACTGGATGTTCCTCAAGACCACTTGTAAATATGCCTTGCAGTATTTTGTAAACATGTTTGCCCAGACCATACACACATGGACTAATATGAGTAAAGCAGACAAAGATTACTGCCCATCCCTGACGATCTATGTCTTTTGAGTCTCAGGATCAGTCTGCTTTTTCAAAATAAAGTATCAAAGTCACCTATTGCCTTGTCTCCAGTGCATCATTCCTTCAGACTATACAATGTGCTATTTTCCCCCTTTCTTCTAGTGAAGTATGGTAGTCGTTGCCACTTACCGGTTCCTAGTCACTGAGGTGATGAACCATGGAGACTTCCTCCTGAGTGTGCTCTACCCCACTTAGTTGAGAGGAGAGCATTGGTATTCTGCTGGTGTAGATGGCATTGATGCTCATCCTGCTGCGGACCTGATGTACAATTCCAGATGTTGCCTGTTGATTGACGATGTACTCTACCAACATGCAGTTTGTCCCTCTGGCTGAGATACCCTACTTCCTACTGTCCCCTGGATGTTGGTTTGTGGTTGATATGCTTTTAAAAATAATCTTATACACTGAGATTTTTAAGAATGTGTGTCATGATATAAAAGACTATGTTGTTGTTGGGCTTAGGATTTTTCTACAGTAGGTGTCTATGACTTGTTAGTGATAAATTTAATGATGAATAAACAGCACGCACTTCACTTGTTTTCAGTATAATATATATATTCAAAACATGTTATTGTATGTACAATTCTTCAACACTATAGATATTATGGGCATATTATAAATACTGTATATGTAGTTCTCTCCTTCTTGTCAAATATCCACTTAGGCCTATTCAATTTCAGTTGACAAGCCGAACTATCTTCTCTATTTCTATCACACTAGTATTCTCTGTGATTCACTAACAGTTGTGGTGCAAATTACCATAATCGTTTAGTCTTCTTTCTTCTGAAGATCCTCTGTTCTTTTTGTCAAAGTGCGCTCAGGCTGATTCAATTACTTTAGAACCACACTTTTACGGAATAAAATTATTTTTCGTATCTTATTTTCTACTGTTAGTTTCACTCTAACATATTAAACATTAGGCCTATATCAATCATTAGGCCTATCATGTCTACGATACTTAACTGCAGGCTAACTTTATTCTCTTTGGCTATTATCTGTCGGTGTGCTGCTTCCCGCTTGTCTCATGCTATTTATATCTTTGTTACCTAATCGTCTGTCCACCTTCTATATTCTCAATGTCAATATATTGCATGCGACTTTCGATATTCTCAACATCAATGATTTATCAACAAAACTTCCTACAATCATCTGCTTTTAACACTTGTTATATTAAAAACTAAACAATAATAAAATATTCACTCATAAAAGTATATTAATTAATAACATTTAAACTAAACAGTCTTTTATATTATGACAATGTGGAAAGATTTTTTATATAAATAGCACGAGTGGCCAAGCTTTCATTTTGATTATCCATGATTCTATCCAAGAATCCAGTACATTCTGGTTTCTGGTAAATTCTGTGTAGTGGAAAGTCGTAAGGTGTTTGGCATGAAGGATGATGCACTTCCACCTTCCTCAGTCGTATGCTATCAATTCATTATCATCAGGAAATTCAGTAGGTACTCTCTGTGAGTTCTCTAGTGACTTAGTTGTTGTTGTAGAGTTTGGAGTCAAAGAAATAATAGTACAACTATCTTTGACCTGATGTTTATCTTGAAATGGTCAATTAATATGCTGTCTTTACTAATCAATCGAAAAAAATATTTGACTTGTCAATAGACTTGCTGCTAACCTAAACATGTACCCAAGCCTATACATGAATTGTAATAATGATTTTTAGCACCCAATCAGTTGCAAATCTATTTTTGCAGATTGTTAATGATACAGAAGCCTCAAAACCACATTTGGTCAGTTATTTCTAACCTTAACATGTCAATATAGTATTTATCAATCTATATTGACCATCTTATGTATATATATACACTGGTCACTTAATGATATTGTCAATACCTTTTCTCTTCAAACACTTCTTTGTGCACTATAGATGTTTCTTCTCTTTAAAAGCATAAACATACCATTATATATTAGGTCATCAAGAAATTAATGTCACTTTCTTTTAGATGAAAAACCAGAACAAAACATTTATTAATTGAAATAGTCTCCATTCTTATCGATGATGCTTTTCCATCTTACAATCAGGTTGTTAATGCCCTGATTAAACAAATCACTT